AGCTGCTGTTAGCTCAAAGTAGAGCTGCGGTTAGCTCAAAGTAGAGCTGCTGTTAGCTCAAAGTAGAGCTGCTGTTAGCTCAAAGTAGAGCTGCTGTTAGCTCAAAGTAGAGCTGCTGTTAGCTCAAGGTAGAGCTGCTGTTAGCTCAAAGTAGAGCTGCTGTTAGCTCAAAGTAGAGCTGCTGTTAGCTCAAAGTAGAGCTGCGGTTAGCTCAAAGTAGAGCTGCGGTTAGCTCAAAGTAGAGCTGTGGTTAGCTCAAAGTAGAGCTGCGGTTAGCTCAAAGTAGAGCTGCCGTTAGCTCAAAGTAGAGCTGCTGTTAGCTCAAAGTAGAGCTGCTGTTAGCTCAACGTAGAGCTGCAATGCTAAATGGATGTAATATAGCGCAAGGCAGAGCCGCAGCAAATAGCTAGATAACACCAGTTGTGAGAGTGGACCCGATTAGTGGGTACGATAATTATGATGGTGTGAATAAGTTGGATAGGGAGGGATGGTGGGAAAAGAAACACTGCTGAAGCACGATCCGTTGTCTGGAAGAGCACAACAGGGCAAGCAAGATTTGTTTTTCTTTTCCGCAAAATGGGCTGGTGCCATTTGTGATTACGCAGCAAAACAAAGCGCATGACGTCAGTCTTGAATGCAGTACAAAGCAATGCAGTGCAGTGTGTGCGCTAGTTCGGATTGTTGCTAACAAGTACTAGCACAGCTAGTACACCATTAGCCCCATCCCTCACACAAACAAGTCAACAAAGAGGCGTCTTTGGATTGAGGAGTGCTGGTTTCGAAAAACTGGTTTGAAGCTCAAAGTAGAGCTGGTGTTAGCTCAGAGCAGAGCTGCTGTTAGCTCAGAGCAGAGCTGCTGTTAGCTCAAAGTAGAGCTGCTGTTAGCTCAAAGTAGAGCTGCTGTTAGCTCAAAGTAGAGCTGCGGTTAGCTCAAAGTAGAGCTGCTGTTAGCTCAAAGTAGAGCTGCTGTTAGCTCAAAGTAGAGCTGCTGTTAGCTCAAAGTAGAGCTGCTGTTAGCTCAAGGTAGAGCTGCTGTTAGCTCAAAGTAGAGCTGCTGTTAGCTCAAAGTAGAGCTGCTGTTAGCTCAAAGTAGAGCTGCGGTTAGCTCAAAGTAGAGCTGCTGTTAGCTCAAAGTAGAGCTGCTGTTAGCTCAAAGTAGAGCTGCTGTTAGCTCAAAGTAGAGCTGCTGTTAGCTCAAGGTAGAGCTGCTGTTAGCTCAAAGTAGAGCTGCTGTTAGCTCAAAGTAGAGCTGCTGTTAGCTCAAAGTAGAGCTGCGGTTAGCTCAAAGTAGAGCTGCGGTTAGCTCAAAGTAGAGCTGTGGTTAGCTCAAAGTAGAGCTGCGGTTAGCTCAAAGTAGAGCTGCCGTTAGCTCAAAGTAGAGCTGCTGTTAGCTCAAAGTAGAGCTGCTGTTAGCTCAAAGTAGAGCTGCTGTTAGCTCAACGTAGAGCTGCAATGCTAAATGGATGTAATATAGCGCAAGGCAGAGCCGCAGCAAATAGCTAGATAACACCAGTTGTGAGAGTGGACCCATGAAACCAGCACTCCGTTAGCTAAGCACTATTGACGCACAGCAAGGGTCAATTTATGTCAGCACAGGCAAGCATTGCGCAGCTAGAGTTCAGTAGCTCATTACTCACCCGAGTTGGGGATCATGGCATCCATGGCACGGCAGCAAGCCGGGACGATAGCTGGCGCTTAGCGCTTGTTGTAGTCCGGATGTAGCATAGACACGCATCGCTCTTTCCACTGACCTGCCACTCGGAAGAAGGAGTCGGGGCACTAGCCATAGCAGCGGTGGTGGCTGCACCAATGTAGACCGAATGCCCGGAGTAGTTCGACTGGGATGGTACACCGGCCGCAGCGACAAGAGACCATACTGTTACTGTGAATGACTGCCTGGTCAGCTGCTGTCTGTTCGAGAGTACGAACAAGAGTTGCTCTGGTCCCTCGCGACGAGTGACAAATGGGTAGCTAACAATGGCACAGACCGGGCAGTACGGCGGTACAGACGGGCCAATGTCACTAGTAACGCCTTTACCGAATGGGTCCGTCTTGGATGAAAGCAGGAAGAGTTGCAAGCGTCCGTCACCAGGGGAGCTAGTACAGCCCCGTGTGATGCCATTAGTGAATTCAGCACACCGAAGAAATCCAAAGAAGCAGCATGGCGGCTTGGTAGAGCAGCTTGTCATGGCCATTCAGGATACTACTTTTCCGGCGTGCATCCGTCAGGTGTCGTAGGATTGGCATAGTTATAGGAAGGCGAGGGGTGAGTACAGCCGTACCATGGCATCGCTGGATGCCCTTCAACACCCTCTCCAGAAGCCACGCATCTACTAAGGGGCCGGCAAACCCATTCTCAAGGTGGGCTTTATGCACCGCACTCACATACACAGACACAGTTCAGGGCACGCTGATCATAGTTCACGCATGAATGTGTGTCCAGGAACGAGGACTCGGGCAGCAAAAGTGAGCTTCCCCAGGAGGGACTCGAGTTGACGCT